AAGGTTCTCTTAAAGACAAAATACCGGATGTCGAGGACAAGAAAGTGGAAGAAATATTTGAATTACAGGCCAAGTTCAGTTGTATGATATCTAAGGTGCTGGTAACAGTAGTATATCAGTTAGATGGCTTACTCAAGAGTTGCATGGTGTAGATGCTTGACCGAGCGCTTTCGGCTAGCTATGTCTAGCGAAATGGATACGACCAACATCAGTTTCTAGCACGAGAACCATTTATTTTTGCAATTACTTATCACTGTTTAATTAAATCATGAGAACTACGAGACACGAAGCCTCGAAATTAACCAATTTTCGGCAATCTTTCTGCGTTTATAAGTGTCTGGTAGTCATTTCTTATTCGTCGCTACATAAATATAGTCCCACTCACTAGTGTCTCACTTATCAGTATCCTAATGAAAACACTGTGAGATTGTTCCTTGGTACACCCTAGGTTTTTTCACTCATTTTCACCAGATGCATCGGGAGTAACTTGTTCAAAATGGAGTCTTTGAAATTATCATCTGAAAAGCTAGCCAATGAACTCTGATAATTTGGATCTTGAATTTTGTTGTTCCCTTTATAGCTACTTACGCCTTCTACACTTAGCGAAGGAGCACAGGCCGCCCACCATGACCCTCTATCCAACTCTGTCATGAGCAATCCTTTTCAGTTGTTTCTCGTTACTATTCATCCTTCTCGTGTTTGTTTCCAGTTCTTAATACAGTATGTCCTTTTGCGTCCTTCTTTTCCGTTTCCCTTCAGGACTCCAAGTTAATGCTTGCCTTGTGATGAAGTTTGATGGTTTCCGTAATGTATGTCCCATCCACTTCCAAAGCCTTTTTCTAACTCCTTCAACTTGTAGCTGGCTTGTACTCTTCCGTAGTATGTTGCTACTGATGGCAAATGTTTATAAATAATTGTACCTTATTTATAATGGTGGTAGTGGTTCTGTAGAATAATTATCTACTTTTTTACTAGTACTATAACAATAATGGACCAAATCCTAAAATTGTAGATTTGTCATGACGTAACCACACAATATATGGGATCTTACGTGGAAATCATGTCACTGTTTATCCTGTCTCGTCCTATCGTAAGAATCACCAATATGATGTTACCTACTTCTGAAGATAGAACAAAGTATTTAGTATGAGTAAAAGAGATTAGCTACACAAGAGTGACCGCGCCTGCAAAGCTGAACCACGCCATCCGATTTATTTAATTAATGCTTCCTGCCTTCTTCATTGTTGATCTTTCCTCTGTGTTAATTGTTGAATATGAATTTGCCTAGTAATCTCATGTTCAGCTTTGAAGATTGTGTGGTTAGAATCAATCCCACTACAGGGGCATGTTGTGGCTGAAAATAATGGCATAAACGACAAGTGAAGACAGGAGGTAATTTTTATTCCCATATATATTCAATAATCATTCGACTGCTTGGTCAGAAGGTGATGCAAAAGAATGAAAAGAACCAAAAGTATATTTCGGCTCTAGTGTTTCATATCCCGAAGGATTCATTTTTAGGTTTTGTACGGCCAAACGTATATGGAACGTTTGATACAACTGACAAACAGTAATTGTCATTATGCATATGGACGAAGGGTAAAATTTATTTGACGTAATTTTATACACTCGGTAGCAAAATTTTCGGGAAACATAAAGATTATATGACTGACGGTGTATAATGTCAAACGTATTGCTACAAGGTGAGGAATATTCGTGTAGTGTTTCAAAAAGATGAATAGAAACTATTTTCAGAGTAGACACTGAATAAATTTACTTGCTTTCTTACTTCAGGCTGTTACTCTGTAGCGGCATCGGTCCCTAACCACACAATTTTCAAAGCTGAACACGAGACAACTGGGAAAATAGATGTTCAATATGTAACGTGGAGAAAAACCCAGCGATGTAGAAGGCAGGAAGAATGAATAAGAATGAATTCGAATTAGTCGGATGACATGGCTCGGCCTTGCATGATACGCCTTTCCTTATTGTTCCCTGGATAAAAGGTTATGCCCTTCCGTATAGTTTATAAAAACCATCCACCAGTTTTACAACTGCACTGGCTAGACTAACGGGTCAATAATTATGAACTAAATCTCTACTCTCCGCCTTATAGACCGGACTGATTATTACGTTTTTTCAGTTTTTTGGCAGTCTTAACTGCTGCAGAGACCTATCAAACACTATGGTTATAGGTTCAGCACTTAAATTCTATAGGACTTACATAAACCTAGGATGAATATCGTCAGGTTTGAGGCTCTGAATAAGTCTTGAGACAATACCTTTCCCAATAACTACGGGATCCACCGACAATCCACCAAAATCTCAAGCATTCTTTGACCGTTCCTAATTGCTGGTAAAAAAACGCTTTGCTGGAACGTGCTGATAAAGCCTCAGTCTTTTCGGCATCATCTCTTGTCAATATTAACGGATTTTCTTCTGCCAAAAGTGATGGAATTCCATCAACTTTCTGATTTCACCTTTATGTATACGAGAATAACCGTTTCGGACTATTTTTACAATCCATAACTAATTGTTTTTCATATCTAGTCTTATTTATTAACGCTTTATAAGCATTCCTTGTCATACAATAACTGAATCTGTACTGTTCTATACCAGTAAAGATGAAGATATTCCAACGATTTTTTCTGTTTTAGAAGTTACTTGACTTTTCTAGTTATTCATGGTGGGCAGTTGTTCGGTTTACGTGTTACCAGGCATTGTATAAACGAAGACGTAATTGAACTAAACTTACCTTCATGCTTCTTCAACAAATAAGATGTTATCTATTGGCCAATCTGTCTTAACAGCGCACATCCGAATGGCTGATGTGTTAGCTCTCCATACATTTGGACGAGGCGTAACGTGATCGTATATCATTTCACTAGCTCTAAACGTGAATGACGAAACAACATAGAAGAATATTTAGGTTGGCAATATCCTCAGTCTCATGTGTGATCACCAAGTCTAAAAAGGAATAACCTTGGTTTGCACCAAAACGTGTGGGTTTGGATACATGTGTAATAATGCTTGCTCTATTACCGTTGTCGGGAACCTGCTATCAAACGCGTTTATAGATTCTACCATGGCCATCTCAGTTCAACTAATATCAGACGCATTAGAGTCTCCTAATATCAAGCATCTGTTGTTTGCATTTCGTAGCTGAATGTGCTCTAAAATAAAGTCTTCAGCTAAGTAAATTGTGTTGTGATATATGACACCGAGTATAAATGTACATTATCCGATAGTCAGCTCAAAGCTAATAACTTCACAAGTTCTATTATCATGAGAGTCTCAAGCAAAGGAGGAGATATTTATATTGGTGGCTATATATAAAACGACCACACTTCCTTATCTACATTTATGTCTATCACTTCTTAGGTAGAGGTATCCGGATAATCCTGAAGTGATTTCAAAATTGTTGACTAACGAAGTTTCCGCCACAGCTGCAACGAGTGGTCTTAGTTTGTCCACTAATGTTCCTAGTTCATAGAATTTATTTCTTAGACCTCGAGTATTGGTATATAAATATTATAGGGAGAACGGCCTATCCACACAGGCCTTCACTTCCAAGACCAGACTATTCGAAAACACACTAAGTGGAGATTTTCCCCACCAATTTGTTGATGGGTTTCTAATCCAACTAGTGCTTAATTCCTTTTTATTTTATCTTCCAGAGACATATGGGGTCTTACTGGAATGTTGATATTGTCGTAACAAAAGATCATGTCGCTTCTGCGACCCTAGGATTACCTTAAAGAGTTTATATGGTTGTGGTTTACCACTGTTGTTGGTTCTCTTACCTTTTCTTATCAGCTTTTGACCTGAACTCCTTTAGATTTATCTGGTAAGATGCAACAGATAAATTATTCGAGCCTTTCCAAATCATGCGCGCGTCTAATTTGGTGATCAGGATCGCTTGACTCCGACAAATTACGCACAATCATATTTGATGGGATTAAATTCTCAAAAATGCTAGGGTGGAGTTCTGTATTACCATAAGACTTTGGTAGCGTATTTTATGACTCAGAATGAGAGTTCACCACCGACTTGACATTCAAGTGTATTCCGCTAATAGCTTTTTTCTTTTCACTTCTTTTCTCTGTACTGCTGACTGCTTTTCATCATTCAGGACAGCCACACTGGGACTATTTGGGACGGTGACGGTTTTATCCGGGTCTATTCTTTCTACTGAAAATGCATGACTAACTACGCCAATATCAAGTGGAACTTCACTCCTTGTTAGTTTCGACAGAAATTTTACTTCTCCGTCAATCACAGGCGGGTGTTTTACGTGTCCCGTATCTGCATGTACTACATTGAGATATTTTTCACTGTTAGTACTTGTTTTATCACAGCAACCGCCATCTTTCTTATTATAGGCCAAAGCTAAGAAGCTCATAGCCTCCTGGATCGGCAACGTCTTATACGTAAAGCAAAACATACAAAGTCAATGTGAGTTAGGATTCAAGCATCTTTTGTATGTGGTGGGACAAAAACGGGTACACATTTTATGGAACTACTTTTTGCACTCATCATATTGCATTCCTTATTCCACGGAGAATAAACGATCTGACCGTCTACATTTATAAGTAATGCTAACCATTGTAATAAGATTAATGATTGAAACACAGTTTGATCACAATATGAACACAAGTGTCGGAGTCATTGAAAGAGATGGCTCAAAAAGACAAAATTAAGCTAACCTTCAAACCAAAGCCGAAATATTTCGAGTAAAGGCAGACCAGGAATGCTTTTTGATGCAATAAGTGCAAAAAAGCAGTGACTGGACATTTTGGAACATGCGCGTAAAGAAGACTGCATACTTGATATCGCGATCGTTTAAAAGGATGTCTGGAAAGCAGTTGCCACATTTTGGTGTACTCTGATAATACATGTTTATGTGAAGCAATACGGGAATGAGTCTTCTGGGAAGGAGTAATTCTAGTTGTTTAAATGTTTCACGAAATAGCATTTTCTCGGGTCGCAATTGGACTTTCAGTTGTGTTCTCGTGATTGTCAGTGCCTTGTATTTACCGCAGATTACGTACCAGTAAGTAACCCTAGCTCAACTTATGATGACTGTTCGATATTATATTGAGTACTTTAAAGTCCTAAGTATTCATTAATAGGTGTTACATTATGAAATACAGTAAATAGTTGTATGAATTCAATAAATACTTCGTCAACAAACGTGTGAAGCTAAAAGCGACCGTATGGAGTCAGAGATGATACACTGCATATGTTTGTTCCTCTCATTCCCACCTTCTATATACTCTTTAGCCTCGCGTTTTTGCTGATCATGGTGGTTTGAAGGTTATAAAGGTTAATAAACATAAACGCTCGGGATCGATCGTCACTTATAGGAACTGGTGACCCTTGTTGATCGCCGTGATATGTGGTACTGTGACGGTCCAGCCTCCCTTCTAGTTTATCAATAGAGGTAGATGGTTTGAAACTTGACACTTCCCACTCATATTAACTTCTTAAAACCAACATCAGTGTATATTATCAGTGATAACACTCTAATCCCTATTGTTGCGATGTTTTCTAATCGCTGTCTTTTCCAATTTTTTTAGTATTTGGACCGTATCTAAGGCTACGTAGTCCTGTCGGATGTTCAGTTTCAGTTACCCAAGCGAATATTGGTGCAGTTATTCAACGAAATGGGATCTTATATTGATGAGGATACTGGTGACAATTCAAGCATCTCTGAAATAACACTACAGTCGGACACTTCTATGAGTGAACAACAAAATGCTCGTATGTATTTTTTCCTTGTTTATTCGAGTTGCTATTACTGCGATTTGTATTTCATAATATTTTGCTCTCGTTTTAATGGTGTGATCGGCAAAAATTGTGTCAACATGTGCCTAACTTCACTAAAATTTTCACAACATTGTCATAGATTTATACGACTCACATAAAAGTGCATCTCTATTGGCGAACTGTCTTTAGCATACGTATCCGTTCGACTCCAAAGGTCTCGAACACAGTCGTTTTTAATGTATTTGAAAATACTTCGTGCTTTGAAAAATTATGTTTGCTAATGATATCTTTTAACGAGTGATTTGGCGTTTGGATTGTGATCGCACAGCCTTCCTTCATTTATTTAGTTATTCTATGGCAACGAGCATTCAAGAAGGTTAAGTCAATAGACCTGGACTCATGGAGCAGTCTACCATGGGATAAATGTCCTGTTCGATGCGCCCTCAGACACCGGTACAGCGCAATCAAGAAGAAATGGGTTGTGGATGAAGTGCAGATCAAAATGGAATCAGAACCGTTCGACCGTGGAGCAATGCGAGAATGCTTTAGAATGTACGTATATATTTAGTGTTTTCACTCTTATGTCTACACGTTCCGTACTTTCACCTATTTTTATTCGTTCTACTGAACATAGTCTAACAAAACTCAATCTTCTATTTCACCATCAAAACTGACTGCTTTTTCAATAACTTCTGTAGGAAAAAACAGAGTCAGAGAGCATCAGGTACTAATGACTGGCACCATACGTCAAATTATGTGGCCAAGCGATACATAGCCCCTACAGACAAACAGATATACTTTGACGATGTACGTCTACAAATGGAAGCAAAGTTATGGGGTGAAGCTTTCAATCGCCATAATCCTCCCAAAAAGGTACGTTTTTCATTTCTTCTGAATATCTGAACACATTTAATATTTGTATTGAATTAGTTCCTAGTCTGATTATTTATTTTCTGTTTACTAAGATGATAATAATTACTGACTTCGCTCAAAGCATGATCTCCAACATCCTCTTTACGTAGCTCTTTCCAAAATATTTCATTTTTTCATGTTTTATGACGGACTTTTTATTCGTTTTATGAGTACGAAAGCCACTTATTTGAGATTTGCACCATCCGCAATATTCTGATTACTGACTATATTTCATCAGGTACACAGAATCCCTGTTGTCTATTGGTGCTCACTTGAACTATCGTAAGTCGCACATGTATCTGGTGCCTCCTTGTACCAATATTTTTGTGTTCAAATAAATAAATAAGTTATCTATCTAATAAAGAAGTATATTGCTCAGTAGTTCGATTATGCGACATGTCCATTAAGAACGGGAAATATCGTAGGTACTACATTGTATTTGTTTTCAAAGGATTACTGGAATTCGGTAAAATCGTGTCTCCGTCTTTGGTACCGCAATAATTTCTACCATGTTTTTTTATTTATCCCTGTGCTCTTACAAATCGTAACAACATGGATCGCTAAACTTATACTGAGTTCTACGTTGATGTAACTTGCTATCAGTAAATTTTTATTTGATTTTAAAGGTGGATATCTTCCAGCTGTCTATACTCGAATTGTCTCCTGACAGTTCTGTTGGTAGTGATCAATTAGATTTTTCACCAGTATTTTTCCATATTGAACGCTTTATGGAAGGAGAATATCGTAAATACAACTCAAATTCTGGCTTCGTTGATGAGTGCTTACGTAATACCCCACAGGTATGTGTGCTAGACAAATCTATTTATTTAAAGCAGTCATCATATTACTAAGAACCATTAAAACCCAGGGATTATTGTAGAACCCTCCAGCTATTGTCCATTGTCTGTTATTTATACAATCAAATCTAAGGCTTCCTAGTCCTATAGCTTGTGTGTTACCAATGGTTTAGGTCAACTAGTTGACATTTCTTAAATCTTCAGTTTTAATCTGCACAATTTCCAAAAAAAACTATTTCAGTTCATAAACTTTGAGGGTTTGTTAATTTGTTTTTACAAATATCGCTTAAGTATTTGGCCTATTAGTAACCATACAATTGTAAATGCATTGTGTTACTACAAAACCTAAAACGCCATATTGCTTTTCCAGTGTACAATACTGTAGTGGCAAATAACCACAAAATTGATTGCTTTCTAGCGATACAGCATCTATACTTACCTTTTTAGTTTTAGTGGGCATATTTGCTTGAAGTTGTCTGACCATGTACTGCGGCCATCTCAAAATCCGACTCAGCACCCACGGCGCTGTTGGTTAGTAAGGGCAGCCTTGTTAGTCAATTTTGGTAGTCGGCGAGATCGGATGTATCCACCATTCCGCTATGAACCGGATTAATTAGATTCCGATTTCGGGGTTCACTAATATCGTGCGGGCTGTCTAATGTGTATGAATAGGTATCTAAATTACATGAATCTCGACTTTTGTATGTACATATGTAAGTATATGTCAGACGGACTCGCGCAAGGAACGTAAGTTGAAACATTTTTTTATATCTAATACAATCAGCGACCGTATCCTTCAGGTAAAATACAACAAGGTGGTAGCAAATACTAGGGAGAGGTGACCATTAAACCTCTCTGAAAGAGTGATTATGTTTACATGTATGGCATGAAGTGCAGGGGTGAGTCTTAGCATCGGTGATATTCATATAATGCGCAAGTGACAGTCAGTTGTAGCAAATACGTTCAGAGGGAGCGATAACCGTCTACTCTCTCAGGTATGTGTATATACCTATAAGTATGCTATGGGACGCACGAGTAGAAATTTGTTACTGGTGTGCATGTAACGTATATTTGCTAATAGCGTAAGTATACCAATGTTAGCGGTATGTATGTATGTATACTATACTTGCCTCTGGTGCAACGCCCGCGCTCCAAGACCTGTGGATATCGATTTTTCCACTCATTCATATTCATACAGTGGGTTCGTGAACATTGTAAGACGAAGACCATTTCCAGGAAAGCCAATACGCTCCACCGGACAAAAACTGACCAACCTCAACAAGGCTCGAACGCATTACGGCGGCCATATCATTGAACACCTACGTGAGACGCTTCTTTAGTTAGTCACCCTAGTGATCTCACGTTCATCCAATTCGGCCAGTAGTCAAATATCATTTATTATTCTTTTTATCTGCCTCAATTACATTCTACGTACTGTGGCTAACATCTGATCCGGTTGTGACAAGGAAATCCCTATCATATTAATTCTTAACATCGATCACATGGTCATCTATGTAATAGCACCGTTGATAACTTGGCAGTTATGGTTTTGCCTATCCAACTAAATGGTTTATGACTGTTAGTCAACTTATCCATTCACTGTGGTCGAGGGTTACAGTTCGCATTGAGCGCACTTTATGCGGAAACTCATTTAATTGTTAGTAGGACTGTCGTTATGTCGAATATATCTTAGTTCGACTCCTGTATGTTGTTCCCTTATGATAGGTGTATCTCATTAGTATGTATGGTTCTAGACTAGGTAGCCTAGTTCGCATTTAGTCAAAATACCATTACTAAATTTCTGTAGGAATCGCCTGAGTGGAAATTTGTGGAAAAATAAAGATATACATATATTTCAAACAAAACGATTTAATCAGTGTTCTTAAGAACATGACCATCTTGCTTACTTATGAAATGTTCATTTCTTACTAGACCTTTAGCCACTTCACATTTGAACGTTCTGGTCACCGATTATTAGTAGTAGATATCCAAGGTGTTGGAGACTTGTACACTGATCCTCAAATTCATACATCAGATGGAGTGGGCTACAATGACGGCAATCTAGGTACGCGGGGTATGGCTTTATTCTTTCATAGCCATAGATGTAATCCTTTATGTAAATGGCTAGGATTGGCTCAATTTGATTTGGCACCCTCTGAATTAGATGAGCCAATGCAGTGTCAACAAACTGACCAAATTCCACCTAACCCCTCAGAAAAAGAAGTCAATCAAGTAAGATTACCTTATTTTTTGTCAATTTACTTATTACAAAATTCCTTGTCATTAATATCCACTTTTTTTCTTGATTGGTTGTCATATTTCATGGAGTTAAAAGTAGATTAACTGCTTTGTATTTATAGTTGGAACTCACATAGCTAAGTCGTTTTAGCTATCCTTCACTTGTCTAGATGATTGATAAGTAACGGTGAAAATTATTTACGTTGATGGATGTCAAAAAGTGAAAGTTTACATGAAGCTGGTTCATGCTTCTATGCATAACTGTCTGTATTCGAAAATAGCTATAGATAAACTGCATCATCTTATAGTCTGATGTAAAACTTAGTATAAAAGCTTATTGAATGACCACTGAATTATCTAGAACTAAGCTCATTAATTGAGTTGTTATTAACCGTTAGTTGATGATAAGGTTATCCTTCTCTTAAGTCTCCTACTCCCTCTATTGCTTAGTACACTTCAGACACTACTTCGCTCGACTGGTCCCCAAATCAAAATACAGCTTAAATAGGAACATAATTATATTCTAAGCAAAATTGCAAGTTTCATGCAGTAGAATGTCAGTGTATTCATGATTCTTCATAGAGAAATTCTAGTCTTCTGCAATTTTCCACTAACTCTGATCGGCTAAAAATGGCCTAGTCAGTGTTTTATTTTAATCCTATCTAGAAAATATAATCAAATCTGTATCCTGCTAACACCTAGTAGTGGAATACATCAGACTAGAAAAAAGTATTATCTTTTTATCGTTTCTTAATGTTCATTCACTTCACGTTGGCTTATAATGAGAAATATACTAATTATTTAAGAACATATAATCATCATCTGTACTTTAAACTTCACTTAAGATCAAAATTAGCATAAAACAAAATACCTATGAAAATTATAAAGTCTGAAAAAACAATCCTTTCTTTGTCACTACCTCATTTTTAGATTGACCTGAGTATATATGGGATGTTTCGCAAATCGAAATTTCGTCGACGCACAATCAGTCTAAATAATCAGATGTCCTGCAAATCTCCGTCTCACTTATATGGTCCAACAGTTGTTCGTTCATCTGAGAGCATGCTCATGTCGGCACTTTCTGAAACTCGTCGTCGTTGTGCTAGTGTCTCACTTTGTGATCATCCTAAATCTGTGGGACAAAGTTCGGATTGCGTATCATCTTTCCATTCAGTAGGTGACGGTCTTTCATTCGACAGTCCTGACGCTCTGAAGCTTCGTGAAACATGTCTAAATCCCCCTTTTCAGCTATCAAGCCGCCAACTTTCACCTGATTTAAATATATCTGGTCACGGACAGAGTTGTCCACAACCAATGCAAAATTTCAGTTCGGTTGTCTCCAAGCAACCGGATTCAAGAAATCGTGCAGCATCTGGTGATTCAGGATATGTTGGACGAATTAATTTAATCCAACCTTGTTCCGACCTACCTGTTAGTAGATCTCACGAAATCGCTTCTGGATTCGATCAAAACTGTATGGATTTTTGTGGTGATTCTACCTCAGTTGATTTACCAGTACGTATATCTCAATCTAATGTCCTGGGTATGCGGTCCTTAGAATCTCATCCATTAGTGGATGAAGCCTTTCCTACGGGATCATATTATTCAATTTCCAATCGTAGTATCTTTATTTCCAAAAGACAGCGTAATATCAGTGAATCTAGTGATGTAGATGCGGAAGAATGTCATCGTGTGCCAGGAAACTTGTTGTATCAACTAATGCATGAAAATCACAAACCCAGTTGTGCCGATCATCCTACAAACTTGGATCAAGAAATTGGCCATTCCATTCTTGGGCAAGTAAGTCCAAATTAAATTTATAAAAATTAAAGAATAAGGTATATTCCTTTTTTAATGAAACCTATCATACACAATCCGATACTTTGTCCAAAGTTTCCTGGAATTCAGTCAAATCTTCCTGATAAAGTTATCATTCTTTCAATGAATTTGCTAAACAATGCTCATAATGAAAATTAAAATATAATTTATGTTACCACATTATTTAAGCAAACCGTCCACTGGTTGTCGTCTTAACACTATCAGCTAATTTGGGATTAGTTAGTTGTTATACTTCCAGAAACTATGTGAGGATCCCTTTTTTGTTCATTCATTTCGGAAACTTTCACACTAAAATGGAACTCTATTCCAATGACGAATATTTCCTGACCACTTCATGCCTAACACCGTTTAAGTCTATGTGTTGTGAGTTATTCTTCTAAAAATCCCCATAGTTTTGTCTACAAAGTGGAGGGACATTGTGTGATCTTCGGTACATTCATTAAATATCCATTCAGCTCAAAGGCCTATCATATTTGTTTTGTATATTTTTATATCATTAAATTTGTACCATAATCTCTAATTTTCCCCAAACGTACCTCATCATCCATCTTCACTGTTTAAGTCGCTAGATCCAAATAGCCAAAACATATACTCTAAATCAAATGTTTATGTTTTCTACTCACCTCATGGAAGTGATTAAACTCGAAAGACTTGTTCCAGCTTCTTTTGTTTAGTCCAAATAGTAATCACTTTTTATACTTCTTACTGAAATATCTGGGACACTGAAAAATATATATGAACCAAATTTGGTACAATCTTTCGAAGAATTTTCTTTCTATCTTTACATTTCTTCATGATTATAAAGCTTTAAGGGTGAACTCAAATTCAATCAATAAGTAATAATATTTGAACCACACAATTTTTATGATGTTGAATATATCACAATTTTAGATCGTTTACAAGAAATGTATTAATAAAATGTAAGTACATAATTAAGAAGCAAGCAATGAATTAGATTTCAATAAAGATTGTTTAGTCCAAATAAACGTTTCTGGTTTCATCATCTTTCATTTTCTTTCCCTGAGCATTTAAGTTTTTCCCCTCAAGTAAACTTGTTCTACTAACTCATTAAAACTGTTATTCCAATTATTTGTAATGAACTAAAAAGTGAAGCTTTCTTTTTTATGAAAAAAAATAGATACATCATGAACTTGCTAGACTTCATGAAGCTGGACGTTTCATTCCAAATAAAGGTCAATGGTCACATGTAGGATTAAGAGGTGAAGGGATTTTCAACAAGGACTCTTGGGAAGTTAGTGAGTTCGAAGAATCACATAATGAAGCAAATAATGACCCAGTAACTTTGATCGATTGGTCAGCCGTCCTATTCCATGAAAGTCACGCTGCTCAGTTAGGCTGTCTGGAAGCCATGATAGTCATGGCACATTATTATCTTGGTTTACCAACTCAGCTGCTACTGGAGTGCCCAATAAAAGTAAGTTATTTTGTTTCTTAACTCACTTTTTGTGAGATATTCATAATTATGGAATACCAATCACAGATCTCTCAGTTTCCGACAGACTTGAAACAAAGTATCTCAATGTAAGACGTTATAATTTTCTACAATATAATTTTACACTATATTCCAGTTACCCATTTTACCAGTGTGTTTACTTCGAATACCTTTGCTTTCAGGTTTATTTCTAGTAACTTTAACACTCGTAGCATACAAGTTACCGACTCAAATGGATATCATACGGTTGTAACAGAACTCATTTAAGTTGGACTTCCATTTATGTTCTAGGGGCGATGCTAAGATAATGTTATTTTTTATTTATAGACTGAAGTTTTAGTCATAATAATCCCATCTTCATCCTGGGTCAAAAGAACCTGTATGTATGCGGTAAATTTTGTAAGTTGTATGCAATTGTCGATTTGTTAGTGATCCAGTTTTAGAGATCTTGCTTAACTGTCATGTTCTTTTTTCTGACAACGATGATGAAAGTCATCTTCCGAAATCTAGGCTGCTTTTATCTCAGTATGATCAGTTTCATTACGTAACGTATCTTTATTTATCCCGTAATATAGTAATCCATGTGAAATTTCTACATGTAGCCTTAGCACTCAAAGCCCGTTACGTTAAGAATTATCTGTCATATAAACTTGCTAACTTTGAAGTTTTTTCCTTAAACCACTGGTCCACATAGTTATAGCTACACTCATTACTAAAATCTGTAGCTTATTGCGTGAAATCGAAGTCTTACAGGTTTTCTGTATTTTATTTCTTGTGATAAGGACGACTGGTGTAAACTAGGTTTGCTTTCTATCTTGAAGTTGTATTCATATCTCATGTTGTAAATGTAATTTATGTTGATTCTAAAAATCAGTATTTAGGCACTTTTAACTGATTTAGGGTCCTTCAAACATACAATTAACAAATATTTAAATACTCCACCATCTTAACCTTATGTTTATTAATAAATCTTTCGCTTATCAGCCGGATCCAAGTGATATACGTATTGGTATCGATCATCTTTGGCGTGCTGCAGAAGGTGGTGATCGTCGATGCATGATCCTACTCGCTCGCTATTTAGATTTGTCAGTTAATTTCCTAAATCCAGGACATCAACTCAACTTCATAACAAATTCGCGTGACATATTTATGCTTCCTGCCTTACAATCGTTTCTTAACAACGATAGTCATTCATTACTTCCCTCCATATCCCCTGATTCTTGGTCCGAAGCTATAGGGTGGTATAAACGAGCAGTCGATAGCGCGGTAGGTTCATCCGCTTCCAGTGATGGATGTACAGATGAAGGTTTAGATGCTGAAGGTCACTATGATGCTGCTGAAGATTTGTTACCTGTTTATCGTATCTTGGCTCGTATGGCTGAAATGTATTCTGTCGGTGGTTTCGGTCTTAAGCAAAATTTTTCTTTAGCTGGTAAGTTTGTACTTGTGAAATTTGATATTTTGCGCTGTATAACAAAGTAAGTAGTAGGGTTTGTCAATGGATACAGTATACTAGTAATAATTATTATTTCGTCCACCTTGTTGCTTTAAGAAAATCAAGTAAAGTGAGAATAGCATGATTTACAGAATAAAATGAATTCATTTTATTTCGAAACTTCTCATCAGGTACGAATCACTTGAAGCTACGATAACTAATATTATTATGAACAACGTTGTTCATTCCTTAATCAATAAAGAGAAGTTTAAAGCAAAACACAAAGACATGGGAAATGGGAAGAATACAAGGTATATTCTACACAGTTTTCAAGAGTGAACAGTATTTATATGTTAAAAGTGAAGCCATATAATGAATTGTGTTTTGTCATAAGTACTGATCAGCAAACAAAATGAAAAAACGTCAACAAATTAGTGGTCTTAAAGTCAAGCCACCTAGTTAATATAAAATGGATAGCTTATGTAATAGATAAACGTTACACCACTATAATTATTTTGCATGGCAGTGAGTTTACCACACTTAATGTGTGCAGAGGTCTGGCCGAGAACCTTTGATGGTAGTAGCCTCCGCTAATTATCTTGAATGATTTTTTGATATCTACTTCATGTTCACTGTACATTAAGTGTTCAGTCATTTCACTTATAAACACTACTTCCCTTCCATTCGAACTCCACCTGATTAACTATTGTATGGAAAATTTTGTTCATAATACTACTAGTAATCCTAACTTCAAGTCGTTCTCGCTTTATTCAAGTACTATTGCTTAGAAATCGAAAAGTGTCATAGATCAGTTTATTCGTTCGAAGCGACTTTTTTTGTTTTTAGTTTATCACTGTAGTTAATATAATCATTATTTCTTCCTTTTTTCTTCTGTTAAGTTCCTGTGTACTGAAGTAGTGTCGAGACCTAGAGTGTTCTATATGTATGTCAAATCCTACGTTGTATTTTTTTATCCAGTGATTTTCAAACAAACGATCTTCTCTAGATGTATAGGCTTGAAAAAGATCTAACGAAGATATAAGTTGTATAACAGTTTGTTTCAGTCTATTTCTTAATATTTTCATCAAATATCTGCCAATTACTTGTTCCTCCGTTATGAATAATTAAGGCTATGCCTATAGTGTTAAAAATTAGTTACCTACTTAATGTTCTCCGCGTTTACTTTATAGCTTAAAGACTAATTAATATTCGTCTATGTAGTCGCTGTAATTTCCATTACAACTTCTACTGTGGGTAGATGTTCACCCAGGACATTAACATAACAGTCTATCCCTACAAGTTTAAGACGTAAAATTCTGAAGAATAAAATGTAATCAATAACGTTTATTTTTCTAACCTTAATTGTATTATTTTTTTCCTCTAAGAACTTACATTGTAACCATATAATTTATTTTGTTTTTTGGATTTCCTGTCAAGTTTTCGCGTCCAAAATAAATCTCAGTCTTAGCAATATAACGTAAAGATAACTCAAAACCTTTTTCCCTCACTTCAATTTATTTTGCTTTCAGGAGATCTATTCACTCAAGCTGCAGAAATTGCGTCTGGTTCACTACAGGGTCGTCTGGCTGTAAGATATTTTGAGTTAGCAGATGAAGCATACTCATCAAGTGAACAAGTCACAAACTGATAGGAAGTATATTTTGAGTTCATAGGCGTCAAAAGGCGTGATTTAACATGCTCTATCCCTGGTGTGCTGTTTATACAATTATAAACATCAGTACTTGTATTATTTTTTACTCTTTTGTTCGTGTAATGTATTTCTTACGATCCATAACACTAGTTTTGGCACTATATTGCAGTTCTTTCTATCTTACAGTCATCCGGTTGTACTACTTTTGTTTTGCTTGTTATATTTCAATACACATTTTTCATTTATATCATTCTGCACTTCGGTTTTTACTACATGTTCGATCAATTATTTACGAATAGCTGCTGTTTCTAATTACATCTAATGCTATTACGTTATTAGCTCAGATTGTAGTTTACTCAGTGAAAATCGCAACCTGTGTTTCGCTAGTTCCAAAGATTCTCGTTATGTTGGAGATGTATTACTTACTTACGCCTGTTACCCCTCGTCGAGGAGTATAGGCCACCCACCAGCACTCCCCATCCAACCTTATCCAGTCAGTCGGTAACAACACAGAACTTAATACTTACGTATATCAGTTCGAGTTACCATACCATATTAGCACAGAGATGCAGTTTTTGATTCGAATCTCATAGTGGTAGGGGTAGTAAGAGTATAAGCAGTAATCGGAAAGATTAGGGTTTGAACATGTTATTCAAGGAGTATAATCCAGTGAAATAAATTTGGAAATAGAGAAAAAGGGACATGAAGAATTCAGAAGATTAGAATTTGAGAGAACACAAAGAGTGGATGCACCTGCGCCATTGCAAACGATTTTAAGTCATGTCATTCAATGTCGAAGATCCCAAACATGTAGTCTACACTTACCCACATGGCTCATTCCACTTGTGAGTGACTGCATGGATTTTTTCCATGTTTTGTTCTGGCCACCGCTAGCTTTCTTCCAACCTAATCCTATACCATAAAACATCGCTCGTCGGGGCAGTCAGTGGTTGGGCATACGTAACACATGTCCCACCCATCTCAACTGACGAAGTTTCACTACTTCATCAATTGATTTGCCATCCTTACCTAGTACCCGTTTCCTAACAGTTGCGTTACTTACTCGGTGGTCCCAGGATATACGAGCAATACTTCGAAGACACCTATGATCAAATACTATTAACCTACGAATATCCTCTACTCTTACCGGCCATGTTTCACAGCCATAAAGTAGGACGGAACGAACTGCTGCGCAGTAAACACGTCCTTTGGTTGGTAGACGGATATCTCGCCTACGCCATAAATGACGCAAGTTGGCAAAAGCTAGTCGAGCCTTCTGTATCCGTGCTGAGATTTCGTCACACACCAGACCACAAGGGCTGATGAGACTTCCAAGATAAGTGAAGCGGTCGACACACTCAACTACTTCACTCCCTATCACTAGTTCGGGTGTCGATGTAACCCAATCCTGAAGCAACATTTTGCATTTCGAGGGAGAGAATCGCATCCCGAACATGCTTGCATTGTTGCTTAGAGTGGTCAGAAGACTCTGCATTTTGTCAGCGTCTTCACCAAATAAAACTATGTCATCTGCATATTCTAAGTCAACAAGTGAACCTCCCGGTAGAAGTTCAACCCCCGGAAATTTAGATGAGGAGAGTGTTATCTCTAAAAGTACGTCGACCACAAAGTTGAACAAGAATGGGGAGAGTGGACAGCCCTGACGAACACCACTTGAGGTAATCAGTTCTGATGACAGTTCGCCGTAAGCTCTCACTCGACCAGTTGTGTTCAAGTAGAGAGCCTTTACAAGGTTAATGTACTTCTTTGGTACTCCTTTCAGTGACAAACACTGCCATAGAACCTTACGATCAACAGAGTCGAATGCCGCCTTAAGGTCGAGAAATACTACCATTGTGGGGCGTCTAAACGTGTGTCTGTGTTCTAGAACCTGACGTAGTGTGAATATCTGATCTATACAACCACGTCCAGGTCGAAAACCAGCCTGATTTTCTCGAGTCTGCTCTTCACGAGCTTTGATTAGGCGTCGAAGTATTATTGAAGCTAATATTTTAGACACTATATTAGTCAAACTGATTCCTCTGTGATTGTCACAAGAGGACTTTTGTCCTTTCTTATAAACTGGCACAATCAGTGATTGAGACCAGTCAGATGTTATTACGTCCAGTTCCCAAATTCTACCTAAGACCTCGGTTAATCTCATTGCTAATACTGGACCACCATCCTTAAAAATCTCAGGAGTAAACCTGTCAGGGCCTGCTGCTCTCCCTCGTTTCAGATTTCCTATGGCTTTTTCAACTTCATAAAGAGACGGAGGACCTACATTAACTTGCCATTCAGGTTGACTGGAGATCGTGGGAAACCGAAGTGTGGCTGAAGGCCAGTTGAACTGATCCCTAAAGTGTTCTGCCCATCGATCCAATCTCCTGGATTGAGAATGAATAATATGTCCATCTTTCTCTGAGATTGTTTCGCTAACAGTCGGGTTCCTAATTCCGGTTTCCTTAACGAGTCTAAACAATTGTCTGCTATTACCTATTGCCGTTGCCTTTTCCATCTCTCTTGCTTTCGCTACCCACCACTGTTCGCGATCATTGCGTAGACTTCTTGTTAGTTTGCGCTTAAGCTGACTCCGCTCTTCACTATGTTCAGAGCCAGGTGGAATGAGTTTCCGAGCATCTATCAGTGCGATAGATGCTGCTGAGATCCAGTGTTGCTCCCTAACCTTCTGGTTTACCTTACTAACAGATATCACTGCTGTTTCCACAGCTTTTCGGATATCATTCCATGCTGCCTCGGGGTGGGCATCACATACATGGCTGCCTAACTGTTTTCCTAGTTGTTCCTGAAATATACTCTTAGCTTGACTATCATTAAGTAGGCCCCTAAGAGGTTTCCTTGCAGCGTTTTCCTACGTCCAGTAAGACGCAGCAAATACGCGCTCGTACTAGAGCATGATCTGAATCTAGGCATGTGCTCCAGAATGAGCGACAGTCTTCTATCGAGCCCCTCCATCGGTGGCTGATAGCGATGTGATCTATTTGGGTCCAACGTTGGGACGAATTAGGGGGTCGCCATGTTAAAAGATGTTTTTCCTTATGCTTAAAGTTAGTATTTGCAAGGAACAGGCGATTATCTGAGCATAGCTGCAACAGACGGTCGCCATTATCTGTTCTTTGAGCCACTATACTATAAGATCCACCCAGGTGTCTTTCCCTATCGCTTAGTTTACCTACTTGAGCATTAAAGTCACCGGCCACTATTACTACATCCGAGCGCTTAGCTTTTCGGAGAAGGTCCGAAAGCTTTCTGTAAAACTCATCTTTTACATCATCTGAGCTGCAGTCAGTGGGAGAATAGGCAGAGACGACGAAGAGGCAACGACGAGTGTCCCTATCTTTCCGGATTCTTACTGTTCCGTTCAGTCGGACAGCGCACAAACGACTGTCTACTGGGATCCACTCTAAGAGAGCTAGTTCTGCCCTAGGACTCAATGCTATACCTACGCCGGCGAGGCCACGGGAAGCAGAATCAGGGCTTCCAGATACACGAAGCGTAAATCGAGTCGGTTCTTTATTTCAACATGGTGAGGTCAAATGAATTATGCTACTTGGATCCTGTATGCGCGTTTCGGAGACGCAACACACATCGATGGCGCGTGATTCTAAAGTCCTAGCTAAGGAAGCCTGCTGTCCCATTTGGCACAGTGTTCGTACGTTAAAAGCACCTGTGTGTAGATCAGAGCGTGGTTTCAGGAGACCGGGAATAGAGTTCCACGTACTCGTATCGTTTGCCCTAGCGGTGCGAGGTGATAAAAACACGTGAGGAGGGTAAGTCATGGAGATAAGAAAGGTATTATGTGTAGGTAGGATTTGAATGTGACCAACTTGGTCTCGCGTGCTGTTACGGGTATGAGGGCTGATGTCGCTTCCCGGCTTCCCACACCGTGGAAGGGTATTTCTTGAGGAACCTGAAAAGGAAATTGGATTAGTGTTGGTCTTAACGACCTGGGAGCGTGACCGCAGAGCTCCAGGGACAACTGCTTGAGGCCGGTCGCGCACGGCTTTTTTGTAGAAGGTTTTTGATGTGTTAGCTCCGTTCTTCAGATGGCCTTACCGCCGGAGACGGAAATCCGTGAGGTAAGGTGAGGTGTGACATTTTTAGGGTCGACCTTTTCTAACCCCACCCCTCCTTGTGGGAAGGCAGCATCGCTGTCATGCTGATTGTCCGAAGGAAACACCTTACTGCTGTCACACCTCTGTACAGTCAGCAGTACGACTTCGCCCTCAGATTTTGACTTCCTGCTTTTAGTCATACCGTTCACCAATCGACCTGCCTGGCATGGTAGAACATACAGGAACATATGTTCCAGCCAATATAGCTCGGATGGGTCATCACGATAGGCAAGCCCGACCACCACGTCAAGGTAGCAGCTTCGGTCGGGATATGGAACGCTTCACGATTTTGCGTGTCATCCTTGCGCAGGGGCCATGCTAATCTTCTCTGTATCGTTCCAATTTTAGTATATGTACCGCCGAAGCGAGTACAACCTTATCCTGGACAATTCTTTCCAGTTGCTATTCATCCTCTGGATGTCTGCTTCCGATTCTCGGCGCATCGTGTCCTTTTGCCTTCCCCTTTTTCTTCTCAATTCAGGATTCCAAGTTAGGGCTTGCCTTGTGATGGAATTTAATGGTTTTTGTAATGTGTGTCCTATCCACTTCCAACATCTTTTCCTAATTTCCTCGTTAGCTGGTTCGTTGAGTTTGTTAGTTTCTCGTAGGAAGGCTGTAATGAACCATTGTACTGCCGTTTCCCCAGCCGTCCAGTGTTTCTTTGGCCTCAGTTTCATCTTGGCCACAACCAGGTGGTGATCTAAAGCTATGTCAGCTCCTCTCCTGGTTCTCACGTCCGCCATTGTCCTTCTGAATTTTTTATTGATACAAATATGATCTATTTGGTTCTCCGTGTTGTGATCCGGTGAGACCCATATGGCTTTATGTATGCGTTTGTGTGAGAATGTTGTGCCGCCTATAACCAATTTATTGAGTGCACATAGGTTTCCAATTCTCTCTCCATTCTCGTTCCTTTCTCCCGGTCCGTGTCGTCCCATGATATCTTCATATCCAATGTTGTTTATTCCGACTTTGGCGTTTATATCTACAATCAGGATGGTGAGGTCCTTTCTCGGGCACTTCGCCATGAATGATTGCAGCATCGGCTAGAACTGATCTTTATTGTCGTCGCTGCTATGATTGGTGGGTGCATGACATTGGATAACATTCATCATGATTC